GCCAGGACTCTGGGGGTGTGGGGGACGGGGGAGGAAAGCGAGTATGAGAGCGAGGGGCAAAAGGCCAGAGGGCGGGGCTTGGCCAGAGCCCCATCGCCCTTCCCTCCTGGAGTAGGTGCGGCGAGTGGAACTCCGTCCCCGGACCCCGGCCGCAGCCGGTCTACCCCGGGTGTCCGCCAGGTGTAGTCGTGGCAAGACTAGCATCAAGTGCCCACTGCGCAAGCGCGGAAGTAACTCTCAACACCCTTCTACAGCAACTTGCCTATTGGCTGCTCCGGCCGAACCAGCAAATCCACTATCCAATCCGAGAGCACCTCGAATTGCTCCGCTTTCCGCCCCTCCCGGAAGTCGACCGCTGCCGAATCCGCTTCGGCGACGGATTGGCAGCAGCCAATTGGGAGAGGGGAGGGACGGGCCGCCGCCGCCGAAGGGCCAATGGCAGGTGGCTCACGATGACGCTGCCGACATGGCGGCTGCGGTCGCACAGCCCGGGGACGTGTCGGGCTGCTCTGTAACTCCGGTCGGGGCTCCGGGAGCGGAGCAGCTGCCTCATTAGTATTCGTGCCCACGAGGCAGCGCAGCGGCCTCCGGGAGAGGAGGGTCGGCGGCACGGCCCTCTCACCCCGAGGGAAGGGGGCGGCCTGACCGCTGCCCGGGGTGGCGGGTGTCATTAGGGTTCCTGCCCAGCTCCACTCGACAACGCGTCCTGGACTTCGCCCTCTCGGCCGATCTTGCGATGGGGCAGTGACGGCACAGCTGGGATCCCCGTGCCGGACCCGGGCACGAACGGGGCCGCCTCCGGAACTGCCTTTCCCTGTCACGACCCTGCTGGGTCCCCGACCATTGCCCAGGGTCTTCGGGTGCCCAGCCGTCGCCTTTCCCACCTTTTTCATTTGGAGATGCCCTTGCCATTGTCTTCTCCGCCTAGCAAGCTTCTCACTGTCCAAGGCTGTTCGGAGATCACTTCCCTGGAGAAGGCCCCCGGGAACCCCGAGGTGGGCAGCCGCGTCCAGGCACTGCCCCAGCTCGTTCTTTGCCTACATTTAGCGCCTCTGAGAAGAACCCCTGGGGAAGGGATGGCGGTTTGGGCTCATGCTGGGTATTCCTGACACCTCCTCTGCTACCTACAAACCCACAGGCTCCAAGCACCGGACCCGGGCAGCTCCGGACCCCCCTCCCCTCTTCGATGACACAAGCGGTGGTTACTCCATCCAGCCAGGGGGATACCCAGCCCCAGGAGCCGACGTGGCCTTCAATGTCAACCACTTGCTTGGGGACCCAGTGGCCAACGTGGCTATGGCCTATGGCAGCTCCATCGCATCCCATGGGAAGGACATTGTGCACAAGGAGGTGTGGTGCTCCCCCAGGGCAAGGGTGGCAGGATCTCTGGCCAAGGCTGGGGCATCACGGAATCCCGCCTGACCCTCCCAGCACCCCTCGGGGAAGTGGCAGGATCTCTGGCCAAGGCTGGGGCATCACGGAATTCCGCCTGACCCTCCCAGCACACGGAAGAGCATCCCGAGGTCCGGGTGCCCTGTGCCCACAGCCTCCTCTCTCTTCCCTCCCAGCTGCACCGCTTTGTGTCTGTCAACAAACTCAAGTACTTTTTCGCTGTGGACACAGCCTATGTGGCCAAGAAGCTAGGGCTCCTGGTCTTCCCCTACACACACCAGGTGAGCTGGCAGGCCCCCTTGCCTCCCGCATCCTGCTCCGGAGTCTGGCCCCCACACCTCAACCCCTTCTTTCCTCTCTTGTCTTTTCCCCTCGACTGGGCTGCCGCTGCCATTGCCAGAATTGGGAAGTGCAGTACAGTCGTGATGTCCCTCTGCCCCCGCGACAAGACCTCAACGCCCCTGACCTCTATATTCCCAGTGAGTCTTGACCTGGGCGGGGGGATGTGAGGGGACTTGTGTCTTGCGGCACCAACGAGGAGAGAGTCATGTGTTGATTCTGCGTCTGCTCTTGGGGCTTTTGTGTGTGGCAGTCACGCAATACCAGGTAGACAGCCGGGTGGCCAGGAAGGAGCTTCCGGGGTATGCCTTCAGCGACCTCAGGGCACACCCCTGTGACACCTTCCTGCCTCCTGACTCGGACTGTGTGCCTCCCCAGCCTGGAGCCTTGGATTTAGACCTCCTCCTGGCTACTCTCACTCTCCTGTAAAACGAAAGTAACAACGGTGCCCACCGCCAAGGCTTGTGGTGGAGGCTCGGTGAGGTGGTGAGCACTCAGCACAGCCCCTGGCCCGCAGGAAGCATACAGCAACTAGTAGCTGTTATCATTATTACTGTCCCCAAGGCCTGCCCAAAAGTCCCCTCCCTTCTCAGTTCCCAAACTTCCCGTCCACATGGCACAGGTCAGGCTGCCCACACTTGGCTGTGGCTGGCAGACCCTACATCTGACTCCTCTGTTCTGTGAGTGCCCCGCCAGCCAGCCCGCCAGCCCAGGGCCCGAGGAGGGACATGGGTTCTTCTTCCGTCCTTCATTCCATTTCCCTCTCCGGACCACCGAGTAAGGCGGGAACTCCACTCTCATGTTACATGGAGAAGCCAAGCTCAGAGACTTGAGTATCTTGCAGGTGGTAGAGCTGGTTTCCTGACCCCAAACACTGCCCTCTGGTGGACACATCAGTTCTGGTGCTTCAGGCGGGCAGAGGACAGGACCCATGAGTTACTAGTAAAGCTGTGAAAGCCCGGCTCCCACTGGCTCTGCGCTTTTGTGAAAACAGTTAAACGTGGAGCTCTACCTGGGCAGGGTGGCCAGAGCTGTAGCTGGCACCAATGTCCAGACTTAGAACTGGCTGCAGTGAGGTCATCCCCATGGCCTGGACCCAGGGACAGCCTGGTTAGTCCATCCAACCTGCACTTTGGTCCTATAGTTTCTCCTGAGATCAGTTTGACCCCTGCCTGTGGGTCAAGGATGAGCAATAGCCTTGACCAGTGATGTTTCTGAGACCCAGCAGGAAACTTTGGTGAGTTTCCTAGCACAGGGACAGAGAGGCAGGTGGCTTGGTGGTCCTGAGAAAAGGATCAGGTGGCATTTACACGGGGGGAATGGGCTGAGCTGGGAAAGGCGTCCCAGGCAGGGTACCGGGGGGCTGAGTGTGAAAGTTGTCAAGGTGGGGTGTGCAGGGAAGGAGGTATGAGGGGGAGGTAGGGGTGTCAGTGGCCTCAAATGCCTCGCTGGGGAGGGCTCTGGTTGAGGAAACCAGGCTGATGGCATCTCTCTGGCTCTTGGCAGCAATGGCCTTCATCACCTATGTACTGCTGGCTGGGATGGCACTGGGCATCCAGAAAAGGTCAGTGCCAACCCCCTCCCCATTCCTGCTCTTCTCCACAGCAGCCTAGGGGATCTGTGCCAGGTCCCAAGCCCACTCCCAGCCCCCAGTCTCACACCTGCCCCCCGCCCCTCTGGCCACAGGTTCTCCCCAGAGGTGCTGGGCCTGTGCGCAAGCACAGCTCTGGTGTGGGTCGTGCTGGAGGTGCTGGCCCTGCTCCTGGGCGTCTACCTGGCCACCGTTCGCAGTGACCTGAGCACCTTCCACCTGTTGGCCTACAGCGGCTACAAATATGTCGGGTGAGCACCTGGGAGCCCAGTGGGAGGCTGGCCTTGGGGAGGGCTCTGTGGCCCTGGGTTCTTGGCCTGCACAGCCATAGCCTGAACAGTGACCCTGGACGTGCCCCTGCCCCTCTCCGCCTCTGTCTCTATTAGAGAGACTGTTTCCAGCAGTCGCTTCAGGAACGTGTAGTGTTGTCAGGTGGGGAATGTACAGTCAGTCACCATGGGAGCACAGGGGAGAAGGGGCTGGAGCTGGGGCAGTGAGGGAGGTCTCAGATCCAGGTCCTGGGCTGAGTCCTGGGCCTTCAGGATTCATTCTGAGTCTAGGTCCCTGTGGGGACAGACGGGGGGTAAAAAGTCCTGGGTGGTGGTGGGTGGGGTCTACGTTGGGCTCTGGGCCCTGGCTGGTGGGGCCAGTCTCAGGCCTGGACCCTTGTGGGGGTCTCCAGCCTGCTCCCCACCCTGGCCTTGCAGGATGATCCTCAGTGTGCTCACGGGGCTGCTCTTTGGCAGCGATGGCTACTACGTGGCGCTGGCCTGGACGTCGTCTGCACTCATGTACTTCATCGTGAGTCTGGGCTGCCCCCTGCCCCGTCTTCCCCAGGTTGGAGCTGGGGATGAGCCCTCCTCCGCCCCAGTCAGCTGCAGCTCTCCTTTCTAACAGGTGCGCTCTTTGCGAACAGCAGCCCTGGGCCCCGACAGTATGGGGGCCCCGGCCCCTCGGCAGCGTCTCCAGCTCTACCTGACTCTGGGAGCTGCAGCCTTCCAGCCCCTCATCATATACTGGCTGACCTTCCACCTGGTCCGGTGACCCCTGGCCCCCACTGGCATTGATTTTTCCATACAGTAAAGATTTGATTTCCTTGATTTTGTTTGACCCTTGTTTCCAGGGCCTGAGGGGGGTGGGGGGTGCTGGCACCTTTGCAGTGTCCAGGGGAACAGGTTTGGGACTGTCTAGACCAGTGGTTCTCAACCTTGGCTGCACATTAGAATCACCTGGGAATCTTTTGAAAATCCTGATTTCTGGGCCTCATCCGGCCACAACATTAGTAACAAAGAAACAGAATTTCCGGAGGATGAGGCCCAGAAATCAGGATTTTCAAAAGATTCCCAGGTGATTCTAATGTGCAGCCAAGGTTGAGAACCACTGGTCTAGAAGAAGGGGGACCCCAGGGAGGGCTTCCTGGGTTAGTGACCTTGATACTTCCTTGTAAGGCAAGTGGAAGGGTTTCATTAGGAGCAGCTGTTTATGTCTGGGAACATGATGATGGAAGGGGACAGCTGCCAGGGAGACCTCGAAGGCCTCTGGTCCATCTGAGGGGGTCCCCAGAGGGGTCTGTGGGCTGGTGCACAAGCCTAGCTATGCTGAGGGTGTAGCTCATGGATGTTCCTTCTATAGTCCCTTTGCCCCATCTCTTGGAGCCTTTCAGGAGCAGAACTGGGGCCCAGGTGTTTGCAGTAGTTTATTCATATTTTGTCACAAATGGCCGGGGAGGGGGTGCCGGACTCCTCCAGGCAACATAGAAAATAGGTCCAAGAGACAGGTGGGCTGGGTTGGGGCAAATGGGGACAGGAAGGAGTCTGAAGAGAGAGCCTGGGGAAGGGGAGAGGGCAGGCTAGGAGTGGGACTGCCCCCCTGCTGAGCCTGCTCATTCTGGGTGTGGGTACCCCCCCACCTGCAGGGGGAGCCTCAGGGTGGGGTTGAGGGGGGTGGCCCAGAACTTCCAGGGTCAAGCCCTGCCCCTTGGCAGGGCCCCAAGTCCTTCCCAAAATTGGACAAGGCCGGAGGTTCCGCCCCTTCCAGGACTGACCGCCATGCCCACAGGCTGGCAGAGGAGCTCCTGCCCCTATTTAGAGCTCTGCCCAGCCCTAGTCCAAGGGGAGTGGGCTCTGAAGGCGGGAGGTCCCCGCAGCAGCAGTTTGGGGGGTGGAGAGGAGGCTGGGGGCACCAGTGCCCCTTCCCTCCTCAGGGCTGAGGCCACTGCGGCCGAGGAGCAGGGCTGGGGGTGCACAGGCGTCCGGTCCGTTCTGGGCTTGCTCCCTGGCCGGCTTCCCCCTTAGAAACTCACCAGCGTATAAACCATACTGTGGGGAGATGAGGCAGTAAGCGGAGACCTGAGCAGGCCCAGCTGCTGGCTGCCCACCCTGCCACACCCTGGCTTGCTCTCAGTCCTCCAGGGCAAAGGGCAGGAACTAGGAGCCCAACCACTCCTGGGGTTGAAGGCATGGTGCCTATAGCACCCCTTCCCTGACTTCTGTGGGCAGGGCCTCACCTGTACAGATAATAGAAGAAGGAGAGCAGGTAGAAGGCGAGTTTGCACCAGGACTCCTTCTGGCAGTAGTTGAGGATGTCGGCATTCATGATGGAGACTGCATCGTACATGACCTCAGAGCCATCCGCAGGGCGGTGGAAGTACCTGGGCGAGGGAGGGCCCTGAGTGCCCACCATCCAGGCTCCCGCCCCCGTCTGCCTGGCGCCCCCATCGCACCCTCCCCGGGGCAGCTGCTTCCCTCACCTCCAGAGGTGGTAGAAGAGGAGGGGGATGTTGAGGCCCAGGGTCACCCACTCCGCTGCACACAGAAACATCAGACAGAAGAGGCCGTGGATGGAGTACTCTGGGACCACCAGCTGGGGAGTGAAGGGGAGAGGTCAGTGGCCTGGTGCCAGGACAAACCCGAGCTTCAAGGGCATGGAGGGGAGCTGGGATTTGGGAACTGCCCACCCACCATGATCTCTGGGAACTAGAAGGGCCGCTAGCCTCCCATTCCCTCCCCGGTGGCGGAGCAGATCAGACAGGCTCCAGAGGAGGAAGGTCACAGAAGGGGCTGAGCTGGGCTAGGAGCCTCCTGCCTCCAGCCCTGACACTGACCTTCCTCAGGAGGCAGCAGATGCGTTCGATGTTTTTTAAACGCTCGCGCTGTAGGGGAGGAAAAAGCCGTGATGGGGACAGGGATGGTGGAGGAGCAGGTATTGGAGGAGCCCGCCACCCTCCCGGGCTCCCGCACCGCCCTGCATGTGGCCGCCAGGGGGCACCAGAGCAGTCTCGGCAGGAAAGCAGCCACACCATCCCCATGGCAACCGTCACCATGGAGGGACTTTCACCCGCATCACCACGGCAACGGCCCAGAGCTTGGCAACCGCTGCCCCACCAGGAGGAACCCGAGCCCTGAGCCCGCGCCAGGTGTTTTCACCTGGGGTGGGGACAGACAGAAGAAGGGGCAAAGCCACAGGTCCTCCTCCCTCCGCACATACACACCCGTCTTCCCATCCCCCACCCCACTTAGCCCACAACAGATGGAAAGACAGACGGACGGACACACCTCGGCACAGCACATGTATCACTTACTGCCCGCGCTGGGTTCCCCTGGTCGATGGGGTTCTTAAAGTCGGTCCGCAGCTCATCAAAGGCTATGATCTGGGGGAGGGGGTGTGCCTGTCAGGGTTGGAGCAGCAGGTATGGCCCCCCACCCGTCCTTCTGTGGGACAGTAACTCATACATGGGGGCCAGACCAGATGGAGAAACAGGCTCAGGGAAGGGCAGGGTCTGGCCCAAGGTCACACGAGTCTGGAATGGAGCCCTAGTGATGCCAATACAGGCCATGTCCATGATGCTTCCATCCAAAACACCCTGAGGTGGTGTCTTCTCTGCCGAGCCCTGTGCCAAGCACTGGGGCCCCCGAGGCCTGCGACACCGCTCCTGCCCTGGTGGAGCCCCAGGCCTGGGAGAACTGTGACTGCATTCCAGGGTGATCGGGCTGCAGGGCACAGGGAGAACCTGAAGTGGGTGCCTGACCCAGTGTGGGGGTGATGCAGGGTTCCGGCTGGACTCCGGTGTTTGTCTGGTGAACAAATGGGGTGGGGGGGGGCAGTCAGAGCAGCAGGAACTGCAGGTTCAAAGGCAAAGGGCTGATAGAATATTCTGGAAGTTGCAGATTCCATGGGGCTAGAATGAAAGTGTGAGGTGAGTGGGAAGAAGAAACTGGGGAAAGATGGGCTGGAGAGGTCAGCCGTCAGCCATGGGTGCTCTGTGAGGCTGGACCAGATGTTTGGACTTGAACAAACAAGTAATGGGAGCCATTTGAGGGGTATAATGCAGCAGAGGCGGGGAGCCAAGTTGATGACGTAGAATTGATGGAGCAGGAGTTACAAACTGGCTAACAGTTTCAGCCAAGATGTACATGATGCTTACTCTAGGCCAGCCGGCTTTATGTTTGTGAACTCATTAATGCTTGCAACAACCCGATGATGTAGCTATTATTTCCATTTTGCAAACGAGGAAACAGAGATGTGACCAGTGGTTCTCAACCTTCCTAATGCCATGACCCTTTAATACAGTTCCTCATGTTGTGGTGACCCCCAACCATAAAATTATTTTCGATGCTACTTCATAACTGTAATGTTGCTACTGTTATGAATCATAATGTAAATATCTGATATGCAGGATATATTTTCAGGGGTCGCGACCCACAGGTTGAGAACCGCTGGACTAGTCCAAGACCACACAGCTAGTTAGTGGCAAGCCAGGATTCTAATTCAGACTCTAGAGTAAAATCCTTAACCACCTTATCATACTCAGAACAGACCAATGAGGGGACTGTTAAAAGAGTGTTTGGTGCTGATGGTGACCTGAGTGAAGGGAGTGCAGTGGGATGTAGAGGTGTGGATGGATCCCAGAGCTCTTTAAAAGCCAGACTCCAGAGAGCGTGAATAGCATCAGAGCAGAGGCAGAGGAGCCCAAGGTGCCTTTGTGTGTTAGGGCACCTGGTGGGGCAGTATCCTCACTGGGATGGGAAACTTGGGGGGGGGCAGGTGTTTGAGGGGATGATGGGACAGACCTTGGGAGAACTGGCATGGGAGAAGCCTTCTGGGGTTACCCCCCGCCCCAGCAGCAGCCCTAAGATGAGACAGCAGGCCCACCACGCCCTAGCAGCCCAGACCCCAGACGGCTGGGAGGGAGAGAACATGGGCTTCCTGTTCTCCATCTGGAGCAGCACCCCCAACTCCCTATTGACTCTGGGCAGCCACCTGCCTGCCAGGCACAGCAACAGGGTCCAGCAGGGAGTGGAGGGGTGCTGTCTGCCTGCCCCAGAGTGGGTACCATCAGCAGGAGGCGGGTGTCTCGCCTCCTACCCCCCAGACTGCCTGGCGCTGACTCAGTCCCCTGGAACAAACAATCCCCCACGGTGACAGCTGACACGCGTCACTCACCATCAGGGTTGCCTAGCGACCAAGTGGGCTTGGGCTCAGGCTGTGGGGTGGGATCTGGGGTCCTGCCCTGAAAGGTTCTAATTCTTACCAATTTGGATGTAGGACCACAACTCTTGTCCCCACCGCACCCCCTGAGCAGGCCCTGCTCTGGGCACTGTAATGTACACACCACAAGCCCATTTTACCGACGAAGAAACAAACTCAGAATGAGGGATCTTTACTAAGATCACCCAGCAAGATAGTTGAGCCAACACAGTGCCTGACATGTAGTAGGTGCTCAATAAATATTTGTTGAGAAAGCTTGGGCCTTTCTCCCAGCTTGGGAACCCCACAAGGGCAAAGCCTGAGTCTTATTCATCCTTGACTTTCCCAAAGCCACCCAGAGCTGATTCTCAGGAAGCATGGACACACGTTAGTTGGATGGATGACTTCTCTGAGGACCCCCTAAGGACAGGGACTAAGGGGTGACCCCCCATAGGGACTGTGGGAGGCCTCTGGGTAGGGAGGGGCCCCGAAAGGGGCTTCTTGAATTCAAGGAGCCTTTCTCCCAGGAGCTGGTTAGCTCTGAGTTCCCAGTCTCAATTCCTTCCAGTCCTCAGGAACCAGCCCTCCTGCTCCTACCCCATAGCACTGTCCAAGGCCCAGATGAAATAGGGGACTCAGAGAGATCAAGATGGACCCCGGGGGGATGGAGAGAGGGGAAGAGAACAGAGAAAGGGGGAGGGAAAGGAAAAAGCAACTGAAAGGCCCAGAGAGAAAGACAAAGCCAGGGAGAGAGAGGGCTAGAGATGGGGTGTGTGTGTGTGTGTGTGTGTGTGTGAAGGTGCCTAAGGGAGCTCACTCCTTACACAGGAGAGAGAGTTTGAGTCCACAGAGTCCTGATACAAAGGAGACAGGCAGTGGGGGCAGCAGGGGATGGTGAAGGGAGACTGGTCAAGAGCTGGGGAGGACCAAGGGGCAGGCAGGCAGCAAATCCCAGGGAAAGGAAGTGGGGAGACCAGGAAAAAGGCAGGTGAGACAATGCGGAAGAAGTGAGAAGGAAGGGGGGACAGGGAAGGGCTTGAGGGGGGTAAGGGTGACCCCCCAGAGGAAAAAAGATCAGGGAGTGTGTCCTGGAAGTGCCAGCTGAGCTGAGTGGGCCAGGGCCGAGATAGGTTGGCTGTGTGATGAGGGCTGAGGAGGGACAGAGGAGGAGGGAAGGCAGCAAGGGGTGGGGGGAGCGCTAAAGGCCCCGAACAATGAGCTGAAAGGCTGGTTGATGGTTCTGTGGTGAGAGAAAGGGAGCCAGGGAGGGGCACCACCACGAGGGCCCAGAGAGAGAACAGGGGAAAGGGAACCTCTCTAAGGCAAGGTGATCAGGATAAAGAAATGAGAAATGGAGATTCTCAAGGGCCAGGTGTGAGGCCAGGCCACAGTGAGAGACAAACCAGAGGGAACAGCAGACAAAGAGGAACGCGTGACAGGAGGGGTAGGGAAACCCAAGGTGAGCTGGTGGTGGTGGCCAGGTCTCTGGGGCTGCTTAGAGGCAATCGCTGCTGGGTCAGGAGGGGGATGGGAAGAAAAAGGGTTAATGGGCTCTGCAATCTGTGGGTCCTGTAAACAGATGCAGTTGCCATAGCAACCGGCTCCATCACTCAGGCTGGAAAAACCCACAATGGGGGGGGGGGGGAGCAAGCAGACCGACGGAAACGGGGGCACCTGGATGGTGATCGTAGTGGGGGGAGAAAGAAGCAAGAACCCCAGAATCCCACCCCATACTCTAAGGCTGCTTGGGGCAGGGGAAGGGAGTCAGAAAGGCGGGGGTGGCGGAGGAAGGGGGGCCTCCCTGGGAAGGGAAGCCGACCAGAGGGGTATTAATGGGGGCCAACAGAAGCCGGCCGGTGGGGGAGAGCCGAGAGGAATCTCCAAGTTTCCCTGGGCCCTGAGACCATCCATCCTTCTGGTCCCCTCCCGCTCCGTGCGCCCCTTGCCCCCACCCCCAGCCAGGCCTTACGTGCCAGATGACAAAGAAGATGAGGGAGGCGCAAGCTGGGTGA